CAGGAATCCCCATTCCCAGGGAGGTTTCTGGTATCCCAGATTCCCAGGGGAGGTTTATGGGATCAATCCCGCACTCCTGGGGCAGATCTCTGGGATCCCACATTCCCGTATTCCCTCATTCCCAGGGTGGTCTCCACACTCCATCCCGCATTCCCGGGGAGGTCTCCGCGCTCCAGCCCACATTCCCAGGGAGGTCTCTGGGATCAATCCCGCATTCCCAGGGAGGTCTCTGGGATCCCACATTCCTGTATTCCCACATTCCCAGGCAGGTTTCCATGTTCCATCCCACGTTCCCAGGGAGGATTCCGCGCTCCATCCCTCATTCCCAGGGAGGATTCCGCGCTCCGTCCCTCGTTCCCAGGGAGGATTCCGCGCTCCATCCCGCGTTCCCGGCTCACCCCAGCTCCAGAGGCGGCCCTCGGCGGTGATGAGCAGGCTGTGCGCGGCGCAGGGCCCCGACACCACTGAGCGCACCCGCAGCGCGCCCAGGCTGCCGTAGCGGTGCGGCCCCCACAGGTTCTGACCCAGGTTCCGGTACGCCGCTGGAAAAGCGGGAATGAGGCCGTCACAGCGGGAAACGGCCCCGGGAAACACGGGAAAATCGTCCGGAAAAATTGTCCAGGAAATCCAGGAAAATCCCGGAAAATCGTCCAAAAAATCATCCAGGAAAATCCAGGAAATTATCTAATTGACCTCAAATACCAATTAATCCCAGCAATTAAGGAGCCTCTGCGCCACTACATTCACTGATTACTAATTAATACAAATTAATTGATCATCTGTTAGCAAGGCCCTACCGTTCCCCAAACCATTCATTAATTAATAACAGATCAGATATTAATAAGCCCTTACCTTGCCCCAATGTATTCATCGATTACTAATTAATATCAATTAATCCCAGCCATTAGCCAGCCCCTCCCCTGCCCCCGAAGAATTACTAATTAATGAACACCCATCCATTGAGGAGCCCCGTGGCCGCCCCGGGGGTTCATTAATGACCAATTAACCCCAATTAATGCCTACCCTGCTGCTTGGGCACCTCCTTGCGGCCGATCAGGTCCCAGTTGGTGGCACCAAAGATCAGGAGCTGCCCCCGGCTCTTGGAGCCCTCGAGCTTCTGTGGGACCCAGGGGACACTCAGGGACAGCCAGGGGACACTTGGGGACACTCAGGGACACTTGGGGACACTCAGGGGACAGAGGGGACACTCAGGGGACACTCAGGGGACAGAGGGGACACTCAGGGGACACTCAGGGGACACTCAGGGGACACTCAGGGGACACAGGGGACACTCAGGGGACACTCAGGGGACACTCAGGGGACACTCAGGGGACACTCAGGGACACTTGGGGACACTCAGGGACACGGGGACAGCCAGGGGACACTCACAGACAGGCAGAGGACACTCAGGGGACAGAGGGGACACTCAGGGGACACCTGGGGACACCCAGGGACACTCAGGGACACCCCAGGACATGGGGACACTCAGGGGACACCCAGGGACACCGAGGGACACTCAGGGGACACCCAGGGACACCGAGGGACACTCAGGGCATGGTGGGTACAGGGGGCACACTGGGGGCGCTTTGGGGGTGTGCAATGGGGCACACTTGGGGCACACTTGGGGCACACTCGGGGCACACTCGGGGATCACTCGGGGCACACTCGGGGCACACTCGGGGCACACTCGGGGATCACTCGGGGATCACTTGGGGCACACTCGGGGATCACTCGGGACACACTCG